AAACAACCTTTTTTTTTTGCTCGTTTTTTGCGTTTGGTGCACCTTACAAAATCGCCAAGAAAATATTACAATACTGGTAAGAGTGAACATTTTATTTTTTGTTTTTTATAAAAGTAAATATTTGATTTCTTCACGTTTTGTTGTAATTAATGACTCTCGACGATCAGTTTCGAGAGAAAATTTCTTGAAGCATGAATTTAGATTTATACTTTTCGTATATTACGTTTCAAGAGTTCAATTTCATTGAATTTTGACATGTTTTGAAACTATAATGTTAAAAACGTATATTTTAATTAAATTTAGGTCGACTACCTCAAACCTCATCAATACGAATGTTATCAACGGACAATGAACAATATCAATCGCCTTTGAAACTACAAGGTTGGCTGAATGTCCACCTTTATCGTGGTTTGAGTAACACTGAAGATCGATCTGTAAAACTTTTAAGAACAGGTGATACAAATGAAGCAATAAAGTTTTGGGAAAGAGTACTTCTTTTCTTTGAAGAGTTGGATAAGCGTGAAAATATTTCAGATATAAATGTATGGTATTTTTGAATACATTTTTTTTGTTAAAAAAATTTATTTGTTTATTCGATTGACAGAGAGCTGAATTGAAACAATTGAAAGTCAAATACAAAGAGCATGAAGAACAGATCAATCAAATAAAATAGAGCAACCAAGTTGTAATACAAAAGAAAAATACGAAAGCACGATTACTATCATCTTTAATTAACTTTTTGATTCTTTTTACATGAATAAAAATAAATAAATAAATGAACAAAATCTTGTTTCGATGCTCTCGACTAAATTTGTCAATTGTTTTATCGAGTATTTTTATACGCGAAACGTGTGACTAAAAGGTAATACAGTGATACAAGAAATGTTTTAAAATTCTATTTAAGAGCAAATGTCATAGTCAAATGAATTTACTTCGATTAATAATGAAATGTATGAATAAGGTATGACAGTATATGACGTTTCGCTGAAGTCCAACGGCAAGTGAGGAAATATGCAAAATTTCAAATCTGAAAGTTTAGGAGGGTGTGGGTAATCGAAGAAGAAAAACTCATACCCATACCCACACCCACACCCATCACATCAGGTTGTAATTTGAAAGACAACGAAAAGAAAAAGCATCTCTCTACCATGTAGAAGTATAGAGAAAGCTAAAAACTCCATCATTTAACCATTAAACATTCATTTTCAAGCAAAATTCATCTCATATTCAGCATCAGTATCAAAAACTGAGTCAGGCACCATAGGTTTCATTAAAAATAATATTCTGACAAAATTCAACCGTACTTCCTTCAGCTTCTTCTTGTAAAATTTTTGTCTGAGGTTCCCCTCAGGTGAATTTTGTCGAAAAATTATTTTTAATGAAACCTATGGTACCTGACTCAGTTTTTGATGCTGATGTCGAATATGAGATGAATTTTGCTTGAAAATGAATGTCTAAGGGTTAAATGATCGAGTTTTTTAGCTTTCCCTTTCCGTTGTCTTTCAAATTGTGACCTGATGTGATATTTTTTTCTCAAATTTTTTATGTGGATTTTGTAGCGCTTCTGAAAAACACTGAGGTTTTTGAGAAACTCATTTTTTCTCTATGAAGACTCCACTTTCTGGAAGTTTCATAAGAGACGTTTTTGTTCAGTTTGATGAGCTCTTTCGAATGAGATATTGCACAAAATACTGGATGAAAAATAACATAGTGAAAGACGAAATACTGGAAGATATCGAAAAGCATGTTTTTTTTTTGAGATTTCTCAGACACTCCCTCTTGTTATCAAGCCTATAACTCCATCACACAAGGTCCTAAAAATGAAAAAAACAATTTTTGGATTGGCAAAACTTCTCTTAAATATTGTTTTGAAATCAATATCTGTCATGGATGACTTCACAGTAATTTTGTATGCTTGTTATGAATTAAATAGAAAATTTTTTCGTTTGACGAACAACACATCACTTGACTACAAAAATACTTCTGACAATTACGTTTCTTATTAAAATACAGCAAATCAATATACAACTCATTTTCTTTCTTTCGTTTAGGAGTTTGAATAGATGCAAAAAAATAAAAACAAAAAAGAAAAAAAATACAAGAAAATCAGTAGAACAGAGAGAAAGAAAAATCTTATATTTGCCTTTCGTCTCGTTGATATTGTTCGTAAAAAATTTTTCCAGTATATATATATATATACCACTTGTATGTACATCATTTTTTTCATATAGTGTTTTGATTTTTAGTTTTATATATTGTATTATTCATTGAAGTGTGGGTGTGGGTAAAAATACTTCTACGTCTACACCCCACACCCACACCCACAC